TGCGATATATCTCCTTTATGTAGGAAACTAAACCCAACAAATTGTGTTACCGGTTTACATACCGATCACATAGCAGTGAAAATCACTTAGATTGGTGCCATATAAAGTATATCTTCCATACCTCTGATTGTTTAGATGCGATTTTTTTATATAAGTATGTAACTCCTCTATCGATGTATGCAGATGTATTCAAAAGCAGTAATCTGTCAAAGTAAAATTTGCAGATGTTCATGAAAGGTATGAAGCCTTCGGCATAGCCGAAGACAGCGCTGCTCTTACTTGTTACCTATATAAATATGTATGCGTATATATATTTAGATACATATTTCATCCCACACATAGCAAATATTATGTATATAATACACCTGACCATTTAGAATGACACATACGTATGTACATAATTATACTATAAATCATACAAAAAATTGGTCAAATATTTTATGGTTCTCAGAACGGCTCTATCCTCCATTCAATGTGAAAGTATGCGTGGTAGAAAAATTCCCTGTAGGCTATGGGATTAGACCTAAATTCTTTTAAAATCCCTGCAAGAATTTTAGCTTACACAGAGTTATCCCTTTCTAACAGTTCTTCTTCTTCTTATATTGCACAACAACTTTTTGTCGGTCCTGTCACCAATTGCCTATCTCATTTGCAAAGTTAAGCTAGTTTATCACACCAAGCTCGGCACTTATAGCCGTTTTCACCAGCTATTAAAATGCCAAATGAATTTTATTTTATGTAAATTTTCATATAAAATAGAAAAAACTAAAATCAATTTTCACTTAAATTGCTTTTGTGAAATTGGCTCTTAGACCATCCATTGTGTGCATGAGCGCCCTTACTTTCGCTTTCCAGCCTTGCAGCGAAATCGAAAGATATACCCGAGCTTCATCATACATTAGTATCATACACAGTGGGACGTTCCCAAGTAGTACCCGCTCTACAAATTCGCTGAAACTCCATATATGCTCTATTCTGTAGTTAGGAAAGAAGAAATGTGGAAAATGGTAAAAGTCGACGTACTGCCCGCCCGAAGCTCTTGTAATTAGGCGGATATGGTAAATGTTATCAGATTTTAATGAAATTCAGAGCATATGCTGGTTTTAACTATAAAATATAGGCGCCAATGCGAAAAATTTTTATTTTGAAGATAACGAAGTGTGTCTCACTATGACGCACACCTCCTATACAAGCTTTGTTAGTTCCCTTAATTTTTTTGAATAGTGTATTATCTGCCTACTTTGGTATGTAAATCCACGCTAACATTTTTATTCTTTACGACCGAAACCAGATAAATTTTCGTGGAGCTGAGTGGAAGATCGACCTAGTTCGAAAGCGCCCTATCCCAAAAAACTTTTCAAGAAAGCCCTACTTGAGAATTTGATTAAAGAACGCCCTTTCTCAGCTGTCGATTCAAAAACACCCTATCTCGGCACATTTTCGATGTATTTTCAGCTGAGATAGAGCATTTTTGAACAGAATTATGAGATGGGGCGTTCCCAAATTCTGAGATAAGACGTTTTTCAATAAAATTCTGAAATAGGGCGTTCTTCAACCAAATTCTTAACTAGGGCATTCTTGAAAAGTTTTCTGAGAAAGGGCGTTTTCGAACTGGCTACGGATATACTAGGTCGATCTTCCACTCAGGTGAAAAATAGTTAAAATTCAATAATATTTAGATAAATAGTCAAATCTAGTCAATATGTGAGTGTCGTAAAGTAATGATAAGTACTATATCGCCGATTCCTTTGCAAATCCGCCTATCGACTAATTGCCGCCTATCTTACGGAACTCAGATTTTGCAGGAGATCGAAAAAACGGTTTTTCTTTGCAGGAATTGCCTTGATAGGCATTATTTTCGCACCACCTAACGGCTACATTTTTTGTGGAGTTATTTATTTCTATTTAACCAATTAATTTAAATATGAAAGAAATCGGACCATATGGATTTTCCAAATATCCCGACTCCTGCGCCACCTAGCGGATCAATTCATCTTTCATGTTGTATTTTCAAGTCTCTAGCTCATCGGGAAGTTGGTTAAAAATTGATTGCAAGATTTGATTACACACAGGTGGAACTTAATAAAAGCTTGTAAAATATGCAAAAAATAAATGGAAATAATATACTCAATTGCTTTTAATAAGTTATCGCAGTACTTCAATTCAATAAACACAAACTTAGTCATAATTTTTCAAAGTAAATAATTCTTTCAGGGTTCATCAACTCTTTGACTACATATGTATACCATTGTTCCGGGCAACAAGTAAACAGGTGTCAACTAGACAACAACAAAAGGTACTGCAATATGAGCTGGAACAAAATAAATAAATGAATTCGTTATTTCATAACTTTTTTTAAATACCTACCCTGCAAAAAGTGGGACTAGGTTAAATACTAGTACAGGACCGCGCTACCTTGTAACCAACACTGGTAACCGAAACATATGGAGAAAATATGGTTACACATTAACCTTGCGGTGTCATTGGACCTGACCTCTTCTGGTCTACCGCTGCATACACTCTAAAAAATCTGTTTAAAAATGCGACTATAAATCGAGTATATTTTTGTTTATTTTTAAATTTTTTTGGTAAGTTTACACGATGAATATGTATTTTTCTCGTTTGCACATTTTCGTGTGTAAAAATCTTTTTTTGTTAGTGGCTTTACACAATTCTAAGGGTGAAATCAAACAGCAGATGTGTATTTTGTAGCTTGTACACACTTTCTTAGTAAATTTACGCACACCACAGCAGCTATATTACACTCTAAAAAGTCCGAAATTTAAACAAACTATTCGTTGAATAATCGAGCATGTAATTTCGCGAATAATAAGGTAGGAAATCAGTAACCTACCTTTTAGGTAGGAAATCTACACAATTTTTTTTTAGAGTGTAACATGGGACCACATAGATAACTATAAATAGTCCTGTCCTTTTGGACCATGGACTGAACTTCATAAGATTTTGTATAAACCGAATATTTGATCATTTTTAAAGGTGATTTTTAAATGTAAATAGTAAAATCTATTATTTCAAATGCATTTTCTTAAAATTCGTTTTCATAATATTTATATTTGGCAACCGAATCATATTGTCGATGGGCCACGCAGAGGTTGAAGGTTTGAAGTGCTCCAGATCAGCATAATAAGTTACTAGTGTGCTACCTGGGCCTTTTGTCCATACTTTAAAACCACGTCGTAGTAGACCACCTGGTAATCAAATTTTTGCAGGGTATGTATACACACATGTATGCGTGCTTAGTACATACAAATATGTGCATATGTACACGTATTAGTGCAGGGAGTTCTATCCGGATTTTTTGAATGTTCGGATAATCCGGATATTCGAATATCTAATTAAAAAATCTGAATAACCGGATAACAAAATTAACGGATGTTAACATACATATGTACACGTATTAGTGTAGGGAGTTCTAACCGGATTTTTTGAATGTTCGGATATTCCGAATATTCGAATATCTAAATAAAAAATCCGAATAACCGGATAACCAAATAGGCGGCTATTAACCGGATATTCGAATTTCTAATTTAAAATTAACAAATGCTTGTGTATTAACCTTACAATAGCCGTCATCGATTCGCCATCAGTTAGCGAGGGGCGAAACGAACGAACTCAATGAGGTACAACCAAACTCGCTATCGTCTATCCGTGCTAGCTAACTTTGTTGTTGCTTTCACATGCAAAATTCTTCTTTAAGCGACCGGAACTCAAACATGGCGAGCGAGAAGTGGCGAATCGATGACGGCTAATGTTAAATAAAAAAATATATTTTTTTTAATATCGCCTGGTTCCGCCTGCTACAACTATCTATGGAAGTAGCGGCCACAGGTTTCAAGTAAGCTAAAATTGGTTAATTTTGTAACAAATTCCTGTACATGTATGCCGCTCTCGCAAACGTCTTCAGCTACGTGTTTTATTAATTATTAAACAACTCAATAATTTTGAGAAAAATTTTACGAATCCGTTCAAACTCTATTTAGAATATTCGGATGAACAATTGAAGGATATCCGCATAACAAAATCCATATACACGATTTTCAGAACGGATATTCGAATATACGAATAGTCCCAGCCCTAACACATGCCATATGCAACTGCACTTGTTTTTGACGCTTTCACAGAATATTGTTGAAGCTTTTCACACTCGCGTACTTTTTATCTTGATTTTTTACTGAAAAGCTTATTGAAGACTGATAAGATACATGTGAACTGTGTGTTCTTATCAACACTAGTGTTCATGAAGTTAACCTCACCTCAAACGAATGTGCTTAAGAGGCTGCTAAAAATGATCTAAAACGGTGTCAAGAGGATCATTGTAGCAATTTTATTTTCTATTTTTAACCGACTTCCAAAAAAGGGGGAGGTTATCAGTTCGTCGGAATATTTTTTTTTTTTTTTATGTATGTTACCGCATAACTTTGGACCACGTCAACCGACTTCAATAATTCTTTTTGCAACGGAAAGGTAGTGTCTCAGAGGTGGTCGCATAATAATTTGGTTTAGATCCGATCATTCGATCATGAAATATATAGATATATATATATTTTTTTAAGTCGGTTTTTTTTTGCTAAAAATTACTTGTTATATCTTGATCAGTTCAGGATCAGTCAGTGGCAGTACGCACCCCTAACCACTCGGCCACAGCAACCGCCTATTAAAATTTGTTCATACGTACATTTTCGGTATCTAGACAAATGAATTTTTTTTTTTGTAATCTGTAAACCGTACATAATTAATTTAAAGCCTGGACACAACTTCTTGATAAAAAAACTTCTGAACTTAATCTTTCGTTTTGCCAAGAAAGACAAAAACTTGCTTTTACAATTTAGTTGGTAGTGCAGTAGACTTACACCAAAACAACTTAAACTTCAAAATTATACGTTATCACTACGTGTGACTTTGCTTTTGTCCGTTAGTGTACATATTCGTATATTTTGGCGGTTTCTGTATATTTAATTTCAGTTACATTTGCAACTTCATTTGCTAAACAGCGTAGAAGTATTGAGCTGCGCCACAAGCTGTGCCAAGCAATTGCAAAATATTTTTTTAATTAAATTAAATTTACAAAAAAGTTAGTGCCTATATAAATCATACAAAATGGGTGAGTAAGCTACAACGGAGTGATAAGATAATTAGTATAAAGTGTTAATATAAAAAAAAAAATAAAAAATTTTCTAAATAAAAAAATCACACAACTCAATAGATAAAAGTAAAAGTTAAACGAATGAGTAGGAAAGTGCTTGCTCAGCTGTTTCAAAATTTCATAAAGTTCGAATTAAGTGTTGCTTTAACTAAATTTGTTAAAAAAAGTAATATTTTTATATTTCTTTCGAAAATATTCTAAAAGTTTCGAGTACACTTATATATTTACCTACGTGTCATTTTCGTCTTCGATTCTTTGTAGTGCCGGTACTTTACCAACTCGTAAGTTTTATCTAATCAGCGCTTGTTGCTAATAAAGAACAGCAAGAAGCAAAGTGCATGAGTCCTATCATATTTTTATTTAATTTTGAAAGCTTTGTCGACACGTTTTAAGTAATGGCTGCGAGGCTTGATCTCTTGAGTGACAGCAACCAAGAGTTTAATAAAAAAAAGCGTGGTTAAAAATGTTAAAGGCTATGAAGGTATTGTATGGCCGCTGTAGCCCACTCGTAGCACCAAGATGTGATCCCTTTTAAAAACAACATCCCAAAAAATTATAGAAAATGCTTTTTCTTAACAGCGGTCGCCCCTCGGCAGACAATGGCAAACCTCTGAATGTACACATTCTATATTCTGTTCTTCTATTCAAACTATCGCAAAAAAGAAAAAAAACATTAGAATTCCGCAGTATCCTATTCTGTAATCTATTGTTTCAAAAAATGCTAGTTTGTAATAAAGCGGGGAAGAGGACAATAATACTCAAGTAAAGAACGCTAAATTCATTTTTGGCTGACTAAAAAGACGAAAGCAACACTAGCAATATGACCTTAACGAGGATTATTCAAAATATGACAAAACTACGAAATACTTGGCTTGCTTCGCATTCTAAAAACATGAACCTTTTCAAGTTCCTCTAATTCAAAATTCCCCTCTGGATATTTTAAGGAAGAAAGAAGTCTTTTTCAAAGAGTGAAGAACTTTTTTCTTATCTAATAAAGGCGTTTTTTTTTGTTGAAAAAAATCTAACAGAAAGGCACTTCCCGGAAGTATGTGTAGTCAGAGAAGTACGCGGGGTTTTGCACCCCAAATTTAAACCCATTTCGCTCCTTTTTGATATGAATACATATAAACTTCCCAGTAAAGTTGGCTTATACTTTGCTGAGTCATTTAATTGTGTATGATCTGGCGAGGCAATACAATTCATTTCAATACATTTTCATTCAGGCAATACATTTTCTTTCGGTCAATTATGGCCGCTATTTAGGCGGGTATAGTTTATTTATTGATTGCAGAAGAATTAATCATTTCATCAGGCGGTAACACTTCTTAATGACGATTGCCTTCTACTAAATTCTATGTTTCTAAATAACTTTTTTAGTAAATAAAAAAAAGTTTATGAGTTATAGAAATATTTATTTGGACCTTTAAAAATTTTTCTGTTAAATGGGAAAGATGATATCCGTCAAGGGGCTGCCGCCAGTGTTGATACCCATTTGTGCCCGTTTCATTACATTTCCCATGACTTTCCGCTAGATTTCCGGTGATAACTGTTCGCCTTCCTGTCGAATATTCTCCTTAAGGGCTGCGATGGTATGAGGCTTGTTGGCATAAACCCGCGACTTCATGTAGCCCCAAAGAAAGAAGTGATTAAGAAGAAGGGTGTTTAATTTTGCGCCACCTTGTATATGGGGCGTTCCATACCAAAATAGAATACAGGGTGTGAACCACATTCATTTGTTTGATTTGCTTTAAATTGTTAGGGTTGATGGATAAACATAAATAATAAAAAAATATGAAATTTGAGCTTGATTAATACATTTTCAAAAACTTTACAGCACAAAAACAAAAACAAATCGTGTTAATAGTTTTCCTATTATTTCGACAACGGGGCGAGGAAAAAATTTGAAAAAAATCACACATACACACATCAAAATCCTCTATGAAAGAAAATATTTTGTTAATTTTTTTACTTGAAAAAATTTTCACATACAAATTTTTTGATAAAAAAAAAATCGTTTTTGAAAATATGTCATCTCAAAAAAAAAATAAAAAAAATCACAATGGTAGCTCTAAGTATTCCGCAATATTTCAGTATAGTTGAGTAAAATGAGTACAGTACGAATTTACAAATTTTTTAATTCTTTTTGAATTTTTGGAGTATGCAGTTTTGTAGCCCATTAAATTCTAGTGTAATAAAGTGCAAGTTTTAAGCGATTGCAAAACTGGGTTAATTTTTTTTTTTAATTTTCTTTGAAAACGGTTTTACGCATTTTCTTCCATAAGAAAAAAGTGCAAAAAGCCGTCGCAGTAGCTTAAAACTTGCACTCATTTTACTACAATTTAATGGGATACAAAATTGCATACTCAAAATATTCTAAAAAAAGGTAAAAAAAAAATTTAAAAATTTGTAAATTTGTAATATATTTATTTTACTCAACTTCGGCGTAAAAAAAATTTATAACTCAAATTATTGTAGAGTGCACCCTATAAAACTATATTTAAATATTGCGCAATACTCAGAGCTACCATTATGATTTTTTTTTCTCTGTCGTAGCTTTCCGCTATTCTGGTTCGACTCTGCACTACCATCTGCACTACCACGGGTTAACAGAGTATCAACTTACCTAGGAGTCGGTGCAGTAGCGGTTCAAAAGTAGGGCGCCCATAAATCACGCAAGTGACTACTTTAGTAACTCCCGGTATTGCAGAGAGAGCCCCGATGGTGACTACCGCCTAAGACATTGCCTTGTAAAAGTAATCGCTGAAATACACTGCAAGTAGTCGTTCGGTAATTGACGGAATTTATCAGGTAGCTACCGATTCTTCAGTCCCTTAGTCCCTCCCCCGTACTGCAGGGTATTGAGTCACATACCAGTGTTTGCACTGATGTACTTATGTACTTACACATGCCTACATATACAATGTATGTATTTATTTATGACTTTGTTATTGAACACCACATTGATATTTACGTGTTTTAAAATTAAGTATGTGTACAGAAGAGCTTGAAAATTGATAGATTATTAGTAAACTTATGTACATATTGCGTATACATATACATAAGTATTTACATACTTAGAGTAACTAAACTAGGACAGTAAATAAGCTAGCAAATACGCTGCATTAGTTATCTTGGTAACTGTATTTCTAAGAAATTTGATAAATGAGTGTCACATGGAACTTTTGCAAATAGAAAATACATATATTTTATAAATTTTGCTTTATTACTAACTCATGTATTTCACTGTGTACTTATAAGTATCTACATAAAAGACCATCAAACATTTATATTAAATTTTCAACATTAACACTCAGTAAGAAAATTTATTCAAAATCTCACTTCTCACTCTACTCCCTTTTTTTAGCGGAACACACATGGGTTTCCACAAGCATTTACAGCGATTTGCCACCCTTCGCCATTCATGCCGGCCACGACTCGGACGGTGATCCAATCTATGTTGGCCGTGCCTACCACAATGGTGATATATTACCTGCAAAAATCGTTCCCAACAAGAAACAAGCCTACGTCGCGTGGGGTGGTGAGGAGATCAACAAGCAAGACATCGAAGTGTTGACCGGTCATCATTACAGCTGGATACCAGCCAGCGGTGGTGAAGTGCCACCACATGCTTTGCGTGTTGGCCAAACCGGCGATGGTGAGCCGCTTTTCATTGGACGCGGCCATTGGCAAGGCAGTTTGACACCCGGCAAAATCCACCCATCGCATGGCTGCCTCTACATTCCGTATGGTGGACATGAACAGCGGCTCGATAGCTATGAGGTGCTCGTACAACCTGAAACCTGGGTCAACTCATCGGGTAGCAATCTAGTGCCTGGCACTATTCACGCCGGTCATGATGCTGATGGTGATGCCATTTACGTGGGACGCGCCTACCATGAAGGTGATCTGCTGCCCGCCAAGGTTATTCCGAATAAGAATTGCGCTTATGTACCATTCGGTGGTCGTGAGGTAGTAAAGCATGATTTTGAGCTTTTAGCCGGTTACGGTTACGGTTGGGTACCCGATGCAAATGGCGGTGTGCCACCAGGCGCTGTTGTCTGTGGCCGCACCAGCGACGGTGAGCCTTTGTATATTGGCCGTGGTCACTATGGTGGCAGTCTGACACCCGGTAAGATTCATCAATCGCATGGCTGTTTGTACATTCCGTTTGGTGGACAGGAAGTAAGAGTGCAAAACTACGAAGTTTTGGTGCGCGTTTAAAGGACAAAGTACCGCATAATGGCTTATGACAACGAGATGAGCTTTCAACTCAGCCACTCCGGAGCAACGTAGAATAATGGAATACATTCATAAAACATTTGTAAACACATATGTATGTTTACGTGCACATGTAAATTGCCCTTTTTCAACTTTTTAATACATTCTTGTTTTATACAAATGTTTTTTTTCTTACAACTACATACATACCTTCATTGATGTAAATGTATAAACATTTTACCTTGGTCTTCCAGATTTTTGTTCTGTATCGTGAACATACATACATTTTATAACTCAAATACATAGATGTTTGGTAAAATTCGAGCCATGTATTGTGTCACATAAATTAATAAAAAAATTTTACATCAAATTCGAAGAATTGTTACGCTGATTTGATGATATTAATGGTTATTGGGAAACGGGTTAGCAAACTTGTTGCCCATTTGTTTATTCTCACCATTGTATGATATATCGGGTTTAAAATTGAATGCGCCCCATTTTTTATTAGCAGGCAGTAGCAGTCAGTGTCGAAAAATTTCACACACTTATCTATTTTATAAGATTCACAATATTTTTCATTACAAATATTTTTCGGTAATTTTTATTAAAACTATCTTTTTTATTCTAAATCTATTAAAGTTTCAAACTTTGCACAGATTTCACAAAAATAAATCTCAAATTTTAAAAACTTTTCATGAAAATTCCCAATTTTTTAAACAGAGTTTTTGACAATTTTTTTAACTGACGCTTTTTCGCAATTTTTCCATACAAAAAAGTTTCATGCATGTGGTATAAAATTGAATTCTGTACAAAGTTTGAAACTGTAATACATATGTACACTTTCAGTTTAATAATGAACTATAGTTTGATTAAAAATTGCCGAAGAATATTTACTCCACCGTCCGTAGCGCTGCTTTTTGCTAACATAATTTATCGCGTGGGGTTTTTTATGACCCCAAATTTAAATTAACTGCATTTACGATACCCAGGTTTTTATTATTAAATTTCTATAAAAAAAAATTTATTTACATGTATTTTAAATAAAAAACAAATTCAGTGCTTTAAGAAAACTTATTTATTCACACTTAAAGCAAATTTGCCAAAAGTCCACAAATAACGTGAAATTGTTGATGATTTAAGTAAAGTATCTAAAAAGTTCAGAGGTAACAAATTTATGTATATATGTTTTATTTCTATAACCTTTAATTCTTCAAAACTAAAAAAAGGTATTAAAAACAAAAACTTAGGAAAAAGCAAAAACAAACAAAAAATTCAGTGGCCAAATTTGAACATTTTTATTCTACGCATTGCATGCAAATTCTTTGGCAGTGCCTCGGAAAACAATAGTTTTTTCCAAGGAGCACATGTGTTTTTTATACTTTCTCTCTAAATTCCGAGGCCGGAATTCATATCTACGCTTTTTCGTTCTGGTTCTGGGATATTTTCTTGTTCGTGAGAACCTCGTGTAAAACGCTGAATGAGAAATCGCACCTCCCCACGTTTCAGTAATGAAATCCTTAAGCTTTATATTCTGCTCCATATGCAAAGCGTCAGATATTATATGAGCATTTATACAACCAATATCGGAGCATTTACAAAAAATCAACGGCTGAATACGGTCAATTTTTTCCATAAAAGCTAGAGGATTTTAAAAGCTGTTCAATGATCCTAGATTTATAAGCTCTAAAAAGGCATCTTTAATAGGCATATATTTTTCGATCTTTTGTGAAAGCAACACATATATAAATATTCAGTAGTAATATCACATAATTGGTAGAATACTTTTCCATAACTTTTTACTTTGTGCTCGGGATTTTTACACCGAAAATTTTTTTACACACATTTCTAGGTACGGAAATATTATTAAAATATGTTACTACTCTTAACGCTGTGATAGCATTCGGACCGAACTATATTGCAAAGCCTACCTTTGAAGGGATCCACTTCCCTTTCCAAACTTTGAGAAATTTTTTACTTTTACAAAATTGGTCAGACGCCTCCTTAATATTTTGTTTTCCTTGAAAAAGCATCTGTGAAGTGCAGAAGAAAATTTCAGAAAAACCGCCAAAAACGTATCCGTTTCAAAACAATTTTCGGTTCTTGTCTGTACATTGTTTCTGCCGTACACTTTTTTCTTATTTCCGATCCATTTAATATCTGCCATTTTATTTACAAGACAAAATACATTGCGATCATATTAAGAAAAATAACTTTTACAAACTTTTTTGGCGGTTGGGGCTCGATATGTAAGTAATTAAATAAATAAAAAAGTTTTTTATTGGGACCGGGAGCGGAGCTCGGAGCGAAATAAAATACCGGAGCGGAGCGATGAAAAAAAAATCTAAACCTAAAATCAATTGATTAATAAGTTAAATAAAATATTGTAAGAGATTATAAGAGATTAGTTATCAAAGGTAAGGGGTTCCAAAAAGTTAAAATCGAATAATTAATTAGTTAAATAAGGTATCCGTTTAAAGAAGGGGGGCTAAAAGCACTTTATTTTGAAAATATTTTGTAGGCGGGCTGCCACCTGTTCAAAAAGTTAAACTCAATTTAAATAACAAGTTGAACAAGATATGAGAAAACTTTTTTTTAGTATTTTTTTAAAGAGAGCTGCCATCTCTTAAGAATTTCAAAATCAATTTAATTAACAAGTTAAATAAAGTATTGTGGGTACCATGCAAGAAAAATACGAAAACCGTATCTAGTTGTAAAATATTTTTGTCGAGAGTTGCCGCCAGTTTAGAAATTAAATTGACAAACGAATGAAAAGCTGCTAATATTGTAAATTTTTAAGTTTGTGAGCATGTAAGTATGTTCATTTGTCTCTGTTTGTATAAAATTTGGCATACAGATAGCTTAGGATCTAGATTAAAATAAGGATATTTTTTGAAAAGGGATGCCACCTGCTTAAAAAATCTACTTTAAACTATAAGTGCATCTAAATTTTACAGTATGCCTAACGAACGAGATTTAAGAAAGCGTTATTACCACACTATTTTTAACAGGATTGCCACCTATTTAAAAAGTCATATTAAGTTTTATTAATTAACTGAATGAAGGGTATGGTAAAGAAATTCGGTTTAAAAAACCTTTATTTTTTAAATATTTTGAAGAGGGTTGCCAACTTTTTTAAAATCAAATATTTTTTTATAAGTTAAATAAAATACTGCAATATGGCTGTAAATCGAAAAAAGCTTTGTTTAGAAAATGTTTTCAAATAGGGTCGCCATCTGTTAAAAAGTCAAATCAAATTTAGTGAATAGGTAAAATGAAACATTAAAAAATGATACCGAGCAAATCCAAAAATGTTTAGGAAGGCTTTATTTCGAAAATGTTTAAAAGTCTAAATAAGTTTAACGAGTTGCTCCAAAGAAATATTACAATACGGATGTCAAACAAAACAGATTGCAAAAGCTTTATAACACAGTTTTTAGAGGGTGTGCCTGTTTAGAAAATCAAATTCAAGTGGAGTATTTTTAGTATTTACATCCAACAATTCTATTGAATCTGAGGCCGTTTATTGTAAGCAAACAAAAATAGTTAACAAATAGTTTTCCCACAATAATTTTTCATTAAAAACGGCCTCGAGCTCAATAAAATTGTTTGAATATTATTTTTTATTAGGCCAATAAACAGAAAAAATACAAATACTTAACACATACATTGTACATATTGGATTATACTGTTAAGGTTTTTTCTTGTTTTAAAAATAAAAACGTTTCAGATAAATGTTTTCTTCCTTCCGCCTGTTTACAAATTGGGTGACCTCACGATTGCCGCCGGCAGGGGCCTCGAGGCTCCTTAAGTCGACTCTGTTATGAAGAATGTTAGATTCTGAAGAAAGGTGCTGCTGAAATAAATTATCATGTATAATTAAGTAGTGCCTTTTTGATTTGGCTTTTTACTATGCAGTACAAAAAAGTGCTTTAGCAAGCATTTTTTCGATAGATAGATTTTCCTTCTTTCATAGTTGACTACTTAAAATTCAGCGTTTGTTATTTATTTATAAAATTTTTTATAACATTTTTTTAATAACATATAAAACTTTACATATATTATAGCATTCATTTAAATATCCAAACTCCCAGTTTTTTTAGTCAGATGCTAATTTGTAGTCATTGACACCAAACCTTCCCCACGCGGTTGACAATTAATTCCGCACCAGCACTTCATAGTTGGTGACAGTCACTTCTTCGCCACCAAATCCAATATACAAGCATCCCTGAGATGGATGAATCTTGCCGGGTGTCAAACTGTTGGCATGATAACCACGTCCCACATACAATGGTTCACCAAGGCTAGTAAGTCCACAGCTAACAGCACCAGGTGGCACTGAACCATTTGCATCGGGCACCCAGTGATAGTTATGTCCCGCTAATACCTCTATATCATGTTTGTTCACCTCCTCACCACCCCAGGCGACGTAGGCTTGTTGCTTGTTGGGCACAACTTTAGCAACTACTACATCGCCTTTGTGGTAGGCGCGACCGACAAAGATCGCATCACCGTCCGAATCGTGACCAGCTTGGACGGCAAATGGCGGCAAATCGGTTTCGATGTTGGTGGAAATCCATTCATGTTCACCTGCAAGTTAAAGGGATGTTGTATTAGATGTAAGTAAATTAATTAAGGGTAATGCTTGAAGTTAAAAATTTGTGCAAACATGCATATCTACATACAGTCAGCGGCAAAAATATGCATACCAAGGCGATTATATTTTCCATCCCAAATTTTTTTATTTTTTTAATTTTTTGTAAAAGTTTGATTCATTCAACAAAAAAACCATAGAACAAATTTTTTTTAATTTCATGCAGAGCTCGGGGAAAATGCAAGAAATACCAAGAAACTTTTAATTTTTCAATTCGATTTCTTAGAAAAATTTTACTACAAGCGTTATGACTACAAAACTGCATTCCCAAAATTTCTCCAAGAAATCGTATTTCGATGAAAATTTCTTTGAATTTTTTTCATTTTCAGGGGATCTGTGTGAAACTAAAAAACTATTCTTGCCTTTGAATGAACTATATGTTTATAAAGAATAAGGAAAATGTGGTATGGAAAATATAAATAAATAAAATCGTCAAAACGTCAGAGTATGCATATTTTTGAAGCTGACTGTATGTATGTGGTGTAACAATGCAAATCGGCGTACGCGGCAAGTGTGAGATTTCATGTTTTTTTTGTTTAATTGACATTGGAAGTCTTGAACGGAATTAAAAAAGTGCATTTTTTTAAATTAACACTTATGATATTTTACATTGACAACGATTATATGTATGTACATATGTAAGTATTAACTTGGAAATACATATATATTGCACAAAGATTGAAGTTATAACTACTTATCAATAAACCATAAATGTGTTA